GGGAACTCTGCAAAAAACGCATCTTCGCACGGGCAGCCCGTGCGTTGGCCATTTATTTTTTTCTTTTGTGCGATTGAACTAATAAAGAAGTGAATCTATTGCCTGGTGTTGCATCAGCTGCCGGAACGCTTCCCGCTGCCAGGCAGGCCCCCCAGCCCCAGCTCCTCCTCCGCTCGAACGTTACACATTTACAAGTCCGCAGATGTGGAATGACAATTCGCGTACAACGGTATCACGCATATGGGCATACCAAATTATTTCTAGCAAGAAGCGATTTTGGGAGGCTTTTTGGATTTTCGATGGAATTTTGATGAAATTTTGCAATTGCAGGAAGATTTTGCAGGAAGACTGTGGATGGAATTTTCTGTTTTGATTGCAGGAAGATGTTGATGGAATTTGCAGGAAGATGGACTTTTCTGAGCATATGATAAAGTGGGACTCAAAGATATGAAATACATCTTCGCGACAAGTTCAAATATCGCGTATGACAGATACTGCTGGCAGACCAATTACTAAAAAAAGAAAGAAATGCAAAAACGCATAATCGCACCGGAAACCGTGATCACGTCGCAAGTAACTATGATTTGTTTTCGTCTATGAAGTGCAGTCTTCGCCTGCCTTCTGTTTTGTTGGCGTAGTTGTGTGTAAAAACTGAATCTTTAGCTCATCCCTGTGAACATTCCTGCGAAATTACAGCTTCCTATCATGTCTGTTTCTCGAAATAGTTTTCCTGCCAAAAAAACTCACAGGTTTTCTTTTAGACGAAACATGAGCGTTAATTTTAAGAATGGCGTGTTGCACGTGAGGTGGGGGCATGCTCCAAAAGTTCCAGCTTCCCAGTTTCTCTGATTGCTAAGTTGAAAATGGTTGACAAAAATGCGAAACACACACCATACATACGCGTAAATTTTCATCAGTTTATCGTGCACAGTGCATGCACTGAAATAACTAACGTTTCCTGCGTTTTTCTCAGCAAAGTCTGCTGCTGAAGCTCGACGTCCTTAGTTGTTCTTTGAAACGACTCAGTTTTCGTTACTTCAATTAACTGCGAACTTACTGAATCGTTTCCTCGCACACACAGTTTCGTTCGCTTTATCTGCTTAGTAGCCACTTCCTATAATTGAAAAGTGAAATCTGAAGGGGGAAAAAAATTCGTGCCTTTTAGAACATTTTTGAAATCCCGAAGTGATACTGTAAAATGGATGAATGGAGAAACGTCGCCAAGCAGAGAACATGATTTTGACAAAAACATGCCACAAACACATGTACTTTGCAAATATACACACCACGAGTATCAAAATCACTCTAATAATCACTGTTGTTGCCTCATATTAATGAAATTACTAGGATGCTCTCACGGGCTAGGAACAGCATGCCCAGTGAAATATATATATATATATATATATGTATACATGTATACACATACATATATATGCATATATACGCATATTTAAGCAGTAGGCACCAACTGATGGCTCTTATCAATCATTCAACTATTTGACGTGAAAAAAAAAAAAAAAAATGAACCTTTTTTGGACGTTTCCTTGCGACAACCTTCGCTTCTGTTGTAGTGCTTCGGCTGCACTGTGCCATCATAACCACATTGGTGTGCATCGTGTCCTTAAGCTTTTGCTCGCCTTCTCCAGTAATTTCAAATTCCTCTTTTAAATACAAAATTTCACTCGTTCCTCTGATTTTAGTTTCAGTTAAAATCAGTTCGCCAGATGTTTTTGCACTCCCTTGCTCATAGTTATGAAGTTCGGTAGGTTCCTTCGTCGATGAATTTCCAGCGCTATCACAAGTGCCTGGATTCGCAACATTACCATGTTTACTATCGTTGGATTTCAATTCCGACACGATCTGGAATGAAATGATGGCCATGTTCCGGGACTAATTTTTTCTCAAAAAGAAGAGAATTACCAGTAGTAATCACCTTATTTGTACACAAAACCACATCAGTGAGATTCTGATTTGTGAGAACCATAAGCGCGCAAGCGCCGCTTCCTGCATTACACATTAGACCGCAAAAAACGCAAGAATAAGCAGAGACTGACTAAGCTTCAAATCCACAGACTATGCATATCAGCAAAACGCTATTCGGAACATTAATGCGCATGCTTGTGCACCCTTTTTGCGTATTATTCCGTAAAAATTGTGTATGCTCGCAGCACGGCTCCAGTGCTGTTTTGTCAAACCTTTTATACCTCGGTTACTGGTCCTCGTTTCATACGCAAACCTCAACAGACACACACACGCCTTTTTTCTGCATTTTTTTTTAATCTCGCATGCTTCGCTCATATTTTTTGGATGACAAAGCAAATGTCACATGAACAGCCCTTCTGTCAACTTGACGAAAATGGCCAAACTAAAGAGCAAATATGCAATGTTTCTCAAACAGAGTTGAAGAAAACAGTTATCGGGGGCAACAGCAAGATGCTTTACTATCGAAGACATCAAAATGTTCCGCTGACAAACTGTCCCGAATCTCAACAACATGTGAATTCGATGCAACTCAAAGAGGTCGAAGTCGTTAATAAGGCGCATTCATAATGTTCAAACTGAAATAAAAAAGTTCCCTGGATCTGAATTTAAGGACCGGAGACAGAGCTTAGAGAAAAAAACCGAATCGGCCGCCGTTTCTTAATTTAAAGCCATGAAGCCGCAGGAAAAGAACAGGAATTGTGAAACGATCACTACCAGCACAGAGAACATAACAAGTAAAATATTTCTAAACTCGTTCAACGACAACTGAACACTTTTACGTTCAGTAAAAAGAGGTAATAATGTTCAATTAACACCAAAAGTAATGAGGGTGAAGGATGAAGAAGAACGGAGGGCGCAAGGAATGCATTCGTTTTACAATACTGCCCATAATACCCCCACAAAACTGTAACATATTGGCGATATTTAACCTTGTAGTTTGCATCTAATTCGAGGGTACGGTTTGATTTAGCGATACTTTGACGATCTTTGGCACCGAACGGTGTGGAGGCAGAAAATCTGAAGACTGTGAAACACAGTCTTCAGATTGGGACATCCAGAACTGGGAGTAGTCTGTAAATCGTTTAAAGCAATCTCGGCCCGTCCAAGACTGAGGAGACCAATTTGGTAACTCACAGTCATATTAAAAAAAACCCGTTTTAGAGACAAGAGCAAAAGGATCGAAAACTTGAAAGAGGGATCTGGATAAGCTCCCCTCCCCTCCACCCTCAATCGCTTTGTGAGCAAATGCAAACAAATCTGACCCGCATCGCTCACCACTCTCGCGCAAAGTTGAGCTTAAATGTAACGAATTCCGCGCACTTCCAGCTGTCGCTACAGATGTCCCCACGCAAACTTACCTCGTAAACGCCAACATCAATGTGGACAAGCGTTTACATCGCTGTTTTCTGGGCAAATCCGTGGAGGTCCGGCTACTGCCACTTTTATTATAAACAATCTCACAAAGCTTTGTGGAGTTGCAGAGTGCACTTGCCCACTACGAAGTGAGAGGGAACAGTTATTTTCAAACATGAAAGGCTATTGATCCTAGCCTTCCAATTCAGAATGAGATTTCTGTTGAAACTGGGTACTGCGTAAGGGATGGAGAAGTTAAAATTTCTGGCTTCCGCTGTTCTGGAATTCCGCTTGAGCGGATTCAAGTTCACGACCTGAGATCAAGAAAAGCAGAGGGACTTCCCATGCTGACGGATTACGTCGCGAACTTCCGGTTTCCCAGCCAGTTGGAACATCCGATTATCGGATATTCAGGCGGAATAAAAATTCACTGTGTTAACTTCCAATAACTGACGCACCGAGACGGATACACACAAGCTCAAATAGTTAAAAAATGTCAAGATAATACGGGTGCTGACAAGGTGCAGCGGCACCCTGAATGACTAACATTCCAACAGCCCTGTGCTGTCCCGGTTCCCGGTCGCTGTGTGATGCTTAACTGTTGCAGAGTTGAGAACTCACTGTGCAGTCGTCATCCGCCGGGTCGACCTTACAGCCCTCCATGTGCGAACGATATAATCCTTGCGGGACCATCTCACCGCAAATCGGGCACTTCCTCTTCTGGGCCTGCTTCTGGAACGCTCTCAGCAACGCCATCTTCAACGTCACCTCGCCTGCCCACACCCGAACCTCGCTGATAACACTCCCAAAGCGCAGCTCCCTCGCAATCGCTGAAACAGAGCAGTGCGCAAAAAGCTCAATACAGCAGCATTACATTCACATTAGTTCACCCCTTTCGCCCCCTCCCCCCACGCTCCCTTCCTGCACAGAAACAAATGTCATTTTTTCCCCTGCCCATTCATGAAATACTAGCCCCCCCCCCTCCTCCGCAAATAATAACCAAGAACCCATTCGCTACTCAAAAGTCAAAAACAATCACTCCTCCCCAACAAGTCCCTTCCGGAAAACTCAAAGATCTTCCTCGCCCGCTGCGCCCCAGTCTGAGTTGCAATTTACATACAGGTAAAAACGCATAAACAAAAACCCACCACCAACCTCTTCCTCCACATCCCCTGAAGAAAATTACCAAAGCTAAGATCGGCCCTGTTCGCCCGGTGTCATGCACGAATCGCGAAAATTTTTTCTTGACGACGAGTAGCCATTGCCACGGTGACTGGCGGGAGTTTGAACGTGAGAAGTTGGTGTGCTGCAGGTTTTGTTCGAAGCAGGGGAGGGGGACTGGGACAGGTGAATTTAGTGGTTACATTAAATACATTCTTTGTCGATTGACTGAGTCACGTACATTTGAAGAGGGGACCGGGAGAGACGGAGCGGAGGGTGGGGTCGAAAGAAGGAAGCGTGCTGCGGGTTATTGACCCGGATACCGAGAGTAGGGGAAAGGCTAAAATACTGCTTGCTTCCAGATCGCTCTTGTAGGGGGAATAAAGAGGAGATCAAATGCTGCTTTGCAAGCAGGATTTGGGGAGCGGGATAGAAAAGGGGAAGGAGGATACAAGTCAGGAGCTTGAGGCAAGAACTGGGAACAGCAATAAAGTGAAAGAAACAACGTAACACT